CTCTCTCTCTCTCTTTCTCTCTCATCATAAATATTAAAATGTCGGAACGTAATGTAAATATAATTTTACAAAAATAGTTTTGTTTTCGTTTTGTTTGTACATGGAAAAAAATGGAAAAAAATAGAGAAAAAAGAAAACCATTAACCATTAATTAAACCGTCGTCGTCGTCGTCGTTACGTTTAAAAAAAAAAAAGAAAAACCATGAAAAGAATTTATTTATTTATTTGTCCTGGAAAAACTATATATATATATGACAATGGAAAATGATAATAATAATAATAATAATAATAATAATAATAATAATTTTTCTTTCCCCCCCTAACAACAACAACAAAGAGCTGTCGGATTTCGGTTAATTTTTTTTTTTCTTTCCACCTTTGTATCGTTTAACATTCAAGTAGGGTATTGCATTAGGTTATCATCTGTTATTTCCCTCGAGGTTTCTTTCCTTTTTTTTTTTTTTTTTTTTTTTTTTTTTTTTTATTTTACTCCATTTACCTTACATCCTTTTAAAATTATCCATTGTCACTTTTATCTTTCTTTTTAACCCCCCTCACCCTCTCACCACTCAACCTTTCACCCGATTCTTTTGTCATTTTTTTTTTTTTTTTTTTTTGTAACAAAAGGAAAAAGATACTAAAAAAATTAACAATGTAATGTATTAAAAAAATAATTGTAAAAAAAAAAAAAAATTTTTATCGAAATTGGGTTGGCAAAACTGGGAATGGGGGAAAGTTGGCAAAACTGAAGTGTTGGGTGATCGATGAAACGTTAACTTACGAAAACGAAAAATTTCAGAGAATTTTAATTTTTCAAAATGTTAAACGCCCCAAAAAAAAAAAAATTTTTTTAAATTTAAAAAGTTTGACCTTCGACCTATCGAAACATTGATGCCAACATTTAAAAAAAAAAAAAAAAAAAAAAAAAACAACGGTTTTTTTTTAACATTATTAATTTTTCTTCTTCTTCTTCTTTGTTTTTGAAAACTTTCGAGTGTCTAATTAGAAAAGTTTTTCCCGTCCCCTCCCCCCACAATTCCCACCCCTTTTTGTCTTGTTACCCTTGTTAAATTTTAATTCAAAACAAAACAAAACAAAAAAATTAAAAATTAAAAATATTTTTTACGTCAGACAAAATAATTTTTTTACGTCTTTTAACATTTCATAAGATTTTCCTTCCTTTATCATCATCGTCATCATTATTATTATTATTATTATTATTATTAGTAGTAGTAGTGGTAGTAGTACTATTATTATTATCATTGGGCTTATATTTTCTTTAAACATGAGATTTTTTAAAAAGTATTCGAAATGAAAAAAAAATTTTTTTTTTTTTTTTGAAATTTATGAAATCAAAATGAAAAATGATGATTTTGTTGTTGTTTGTTGTATCGAAAAATCCTTTTTAGTATATTTGGGGGGCACGTATTTATAGAATCGAAAATTTTATATCGAAAAAAATAAAACAAAAAAGTAGCCCGAAGGGAACAGTTTTCAATATATATATATATATATAGATATTCACTCACGCCCGGGGAATAGAAACACGCCCTATGCACCGCCTCGGACACTTTTCCATTTCCCCTACGTCTGTTCGATAAAAACAAAAAAAGCGCGGTTCGGTTTTCATTTAAAATTTTCCCTTTTCCGGATTTTCCAAAAAAAAAAAAAATTAACATTTGCGAATTAATTAATCGCCATTGATAATTACGTGGAAAAACAACAACAAACAACAAACAACAAGAAGAAAAATAAAATAAATAATAATAATTATTTTGACTTACCCCTCTCTCTCTCTACTGTCTTGTATCCTTTTCCATCCCCCCCTCTCTATCGTCTTGTATCCTTTTCCATCCCTCTCTCTCTCTCTTTAACGTCTTCGTGTTTTTATATCCCTCTCTCTCTCTCTTTAACGTCTTCGTGTTTTTATATCCCTCTCTCTCTCTCTCTACTGCCTTCGTATCCCTTTGCATCCTTCCCTCTCTCTCTAGTGTATTTGCATTACTTCTAATATCTGCCCCCTCTGTTTCTTTCTCTCTCTCTCTCCCTCTCTCCTTGCATTTCTTCTTATTTCTGTCCCCTTCTCTCTCTCTCTCTCTTTTTCTTCTCCTATTATAAAAACTCATCAATTAATTTACTACACAAATTTTGATCACATCATCAAACATCGTAAACCTTACGCACACACACACACACACACACATTTAATTTTCTTTTTTTTAACGATTTTAATTTAGAAATTTTCAAAATGACGTCAATATCAGAAAAAGGGAAAAGAAAAAAAAATGTCAAAAGGCAAACAAAATCAAAGGGGGCGAAAAAAAAAAAAAATCGTTAAATTCTTTATTCGCGTTTGTTATTCGTCCCTTGGCAACCTTAAATTTTTTTTTTTTTTTTTTTTTTTTTAGAAAAATACGCCCCGTTGATATTTATAATCGATTTTATTATTAACCTTAAAAAAAGCGTTCGAATCCGAACGGATTAAAATTTATTTATATAAAAAGAAAAAAGAATAGAATAGAAAAGGATAGAAATAGAATAGAATAGAATATAATAGAAAAAAAAAACGCGTATTTAAATTTTTATATTTACCATGTAAATGATTTTTTTCTCCCTCTCTCTCCCTTTCTCTCTATCCCTATCCCTTTCTCTATCTCTATCCTTTTCTTATTTTTTCAACCCTTGGTTTTTTTTCTAACAAGCAGAAGACAAAAATTTTTCTTTATTTAAAATGTCGTCGTCGTCGTCGTCGTAGTACGGATTTTCAAAGTTACTAAAAAAAAAAAAATAAATAATTTTATTAATATTTTTAAAATAAAATAATTATATTTTATTTATTTATTTATTTATATTATTTTAATAATTTATTAATTGATAACGGTTCGTAAAAACTCTCAAATTTTAGAATTTACACACACATAAATTTTTATTTATTTATTTATTTTTAATAAAATTAATCAATCATGGTATTTTATCACGGAGAAATTTTTTCTTTTTTTTATTTATTTATCTTCCGCCACGTTTTTTCCTTTTTTTTTATTAAATTACTGCCACGTTATTTTCTTTACTATTTATAAAAAAAAAAAAAAACGTGGGGAGCTAAAAAAAAAAAATAAAAAATAAATTTATTTATTTATTGCGTGAAATTTCATCTGTGTTTTCCCTTCCCTCCCACCGCCCTCTTCTTACTTTCTCCCCGCCCCCGCCCCCGCCTCTTCCCTCCCACTAATTCTCGTACATCATCTTCATTTCCACGCACACGCACGCACTCACCCACTCACAATCCATTTACATAAATATAGATATATATATTTATTAAATAAATAATTAATAACTCTTTCCTAATAATAATAATAATAATTATTATTATTCGTCGTGTGCGTCCGTTAACAATTAAAAAAAAAAAAATAATAATAATAATAATAATAATAATAATAATTTTCAATTTTTTTTTTTCTTAACACGATGAAAATTTTCCGGAAAATAATTAATTTGAGCAAAAATTTTTCCCTCTCCGAAAATAAACTACCATGATATACAAATATATATATATAGACGATATAACAACACACATTTATTTATTAATAAAATTTTATGTATGCATTTTATATTTTTTATTATTTATACTCCGCCTCTCCCCCCCCCTTCGACCCCTCCTCCCCTCCCCCCGAAAAAAAATAAATAAATAAATAAATTCAAATTAAAAAAAAAATAAATAAATAAATAATTTTCAAACATACTCTCTTCTTTCAATCTTACATAAATATTTTACATAAATAAATAAAAAAATAACAATAATAATAATAATAATAATAATAATAATAATAATAATAATAATAATAATAAAGCAAACAAACGATTCGATTCCAATAATATTTTAAATGATATGCATACGAATTTATTATTATTATTATTATCATTATTACTTTTTTTTTTTTTTTGCTCGATAAACATATAAATTTATTAACATTAAATTTTATTAATATTTGACATCTATCTATAAAGCCCAACAAGTGATTATTATTATCATCATTATTATTATCATTATTAATAATTTTTTATGTATCCACGTTATATATATTTATGTTTAAGTACACTAAAATTCTAATAAACACATTAATAATAGTAATAATAATAATTTCTACGCCTGCGCATCGTACATAAATATTTATTTATTTATTTATTAACAACGAATTATAACGGTGATAATAATAATAATAATAATTTTCTTCTTTTTTTCCTTTTTATTTAAACAACACATATAAATATACATATGTAAATTTATCTCCCGCGGATTTATTATTATTATTATTATTATTATTATTATTATTATTATTATTATTAATTAATTGATTAATTAATTAATTAATTAATTAATTAATTTCTTCTTCCTCTTCCCCCCTTTTTTAATTTTTTGAACAGAACGATATTGTTTTTAGACAAAAAAAAAAAGGATTTAAGGTGAGTCAGTTAAGTATAAGGATAGTTAAAAAAAAAAAAATAGGGAAAGTGGTAGCAGAATGAAGGGGGGTAGCAGAAGAAAAAATGGCGGGAATCTAACGTTTTTTAACGGTTTTACATACGTTTACGATTATTGTTGGTAAAAGGGTTAACCGTTTTAAATTGAATTCTACGCTCTACAATATTTACTACATAATTACAAGTCGCTACAATTTATTTACTCTATGCATTGATATGTATTTAATTGCTTATTATTTATCCGTTACATTTTTTTAAATTCCTTTCGATTAATCCCCGATTTTATTTTATTATTATTATTATTAATAATTTAAAAAATGGTGGCCACGACACGATATGTAATTATTTTTATATCCGAGTGTGTATACCCTGAATAATTTTTTTTATTTTTTTTATTTTAAATAAATTTTTGAATATTATCGATTTAATTGACGAGTATTTAAATTTTGATGACGTCATAAAATTATTACGAAAGGTATGACCCGACGGGGGAAAAAAAAAAAAAAAAAAAAAAAAAAAATTTAAAAAGCCGTATTGCATTCTTTTGCATTTGACGTTTCCGTGACGTTGTCGGGAAACGTGTTCATTCTTATCCCCGTACCTGATGAATCATTTTTATTACTTCCTATATCCGCTTTTAATTTTTCAACTTCGGCCGGATCTAAATCGTCGTCTGGTTCCAAACCCGGATTTATCCTTCCGTTCATTTCGTCTTTTCCAACGAGTCCCGTCGCACCGTATAATTTTCCCATCGCACCGGATGTCATCATTGATAATTCCCCTTCTATCGGTTCATCCACGCGTAAAACATCTTCTGGGATGTTGACGACGCAACGGAAGAAATCATAACCGGGAGCTAATTTTCCGCTTTCGAATATGTATCTAAAAAGAGAAAAAGTTTTGAATTTTTAATCGTGACGTCATTGTTTTTTTTTTTTTTTTTTTTTCATTCTAATAAATATATGTAATTGGATGATGCGTACTTCGTGAACCAAGACACGCCAATTAGAGTGCATAAACTCATGACCATGGCTAATGTTCGAAATGGAAACAATTGCATTTCGTTTTCTTCATCGTATCCTGGATATTTGATTAACGTGGGAAGTCCTAAAAGGGGTTCGCCACCGCTCAAACGTATGAAAAAAGCCATAATGTACGCTGCTAAACTTCCATAAGTGTTGCAATGATCTTTAAAGTGAACAACCATCAAAAGTTGCGGGAAAAGAATGCAGTAAACCAAATCCGAACACATTGACCTGTTTAAAAAAAAAAAAAAAAAAAAAACAAAAACCAAAAATTACAATAGCCAACAAAAAAGGAAAAAAGGAAAAATTCCATTTCCTTTGTACTCACCACAAACCGTATATAGAAGGTATCGTAAGAGCCATAACGGTGGATAGTATACCAACCACGATGATGGACACTCTCATGACCCAAATGATTTCCATTTCCGAAGCCTGACATATATTTATTTATATTATTATTAAATATATATTTAACATAATTTGATGTTAATAAAAACGGTTTAAAACTCACGTTTTGCCTGAATATCAATTTGTAAACGTTTCTTGCAAACATGGAACTTGCCGATAAAACGCTGGAATCGGCCGAAGACATGACGGCTGCGGACACGGCACCCAAACCGAAGAAGGATACGAAATCGGGAGTTAAGTATTGTAAAACCATCGGTAATATCATGCTCGTTTCTTGCACGGTTAAAGGATATGGACCCTTGTAATCCGTTTCGTTCCAGGCTTTAAATGAAAACGTCATTAAATCCTAATATAAACGAATAGGATTCAAAAAGTAAAAAAAAAAAAAAAAAAAAAAAAACAACTCACGGGTTGCTTTGGCTATGGCTCCAATCAAAACAGGTGGTATCGCCATTAATATACAACCGGCTGCGGCAACATACGATAGTACTTGAGCTCTACCTGCCGTTTTACTTGAAAGTACCCGTTGAAAATACACCTGTTAACAAAAATTTAAATAAACGTCATTAAAAACTTTTCCACACTTTAAAGCAGACGAACACGTTCCTAACGTCCATTTAAAAAAAAATTTCTTTATATATTTAAAAATAATAATAATAATAATAGAAAAAACAAAAACAATAATGTAAACAATGTTAAAGTAAATAGTAGTTTCATGTAATGTACAAAATTTTTACGTGATATATTAATTAGTATAATAATACGTTGATCAAAATCATTAGTGATGAGGAAAGACATAAAAAGGCGACTGGAAAAAGCGTTAATTAATTTACAAGAACCAGGTGGGTCGACGATACGTTCGATAATTAAAGTTATTAACAAAGAGTCTCCCATATTGAGTTTGAGAAAGGTTTTGGAAGCTTTGCAAGAAGGTATTAGCGAAGGTTTCCTATGCATGTACAACGGACGATTTAAATTAAGACAACATTTAGCATCTAGAAAAGATTTCCGGGAAACGCATTATTACGACGAAGATGATCGTTTGGCACGTGCAATCGACGAAGAGGATCGTCTCCGAAATTTTTCCGAAAAAAATTTCCACGACGACGACAGTCTCGGATCGGGAAGTAGGGATGATATGAATAGCGCGGAAGAAGAACTCATTGATGAGGATTTGAATGGGAATCGAGGTGAAGAATTTACTAGGAGAAAAAAAAAAATAAATAATAATAATAATAATAATAATAATAATAATCGTAAAAAATATAAAAGTTCGTTAGATTACGATATCGAATCGAATACTAATTTCGAGTGTTACGACCACGTTTTCGATGGGAAAAAAAAACGTTTTAATTTTAAAACTCATCGTTGCTCGTACGAACCTGATAAAAATAGTAGCGTCGATTCTTTTCTGGACGCGGATGGTAATCACGAGAATGCTCAACCCCCTCACAGACCCGGACCCGATGCTAAAAAACAAAGGGGTCCCAGGTGCACGAGTATGAAAAAAGATGTTAAAATGCCTAGCAAAGTACAAATACCGTTCATACCTCCTACGATACCTCAAAAGAGCAACACGTTTAACGACCTCCTAAGGCGAAGTCCGGAACCTGTTAACGGCCCACTTTACGACGGTTACAACGATTTTTCATTTACACCTGATAAGTTAGAATTTTTCGGTGCTTATTCTTAATCGTTTTCTTCTTTTTCTTTTTTTTATAATTATTAATACGTCTCTCTCAAAATTAGTCATCGTCTACGCAATTTTAAAATGTTACAATAATAAATGTAAAAAAAAAAGTGTTTTTCATTTCATTTTTTCTTTTCATTTTTTTGCCGTTAAGAATATTAATAATAATATTTTTACAATGTAACGATTCGAAATGAAAAAAATATAAGAATTTTGATGATGGAGAGAAAACAAATGAAATCACTTACCTGCCAAGGTATTCCGCCTAAAATAAGTAACAATCCGTAATCGATGTAGTAAAATATTTGCGATGATGGTACGACACCGATCCAATCGACGTCCTGGGAAGACAATGGTTGAACTTTTTCATTCAACCACGCAAACGGAATGCACATCCACTAAAAACCACATGATATTATTATTATTATTATTATAATTATTATTTATTAATTAACGTGATCCGATACAGAGAGAGAAATTTTTATTTACCAGGCCCACGAATATGCAGAAAAGTTGTATGACGTCAGTGTAGGCAACACTGTAAAGACCTCCGAAAAGGGTGTAGAAAACAGCAATGCAAGAACTTAGTATGACGCTCGTTTGATGATCCATATCGATGATGACGCTCAACGTGGCACCTGATACCGGAGAAAATGGGAAAAACGTTTTTTTTTTTTAAAAAAATTAATTTTCCGACGCGTGATTTCCAACAGTTGAAACTTACCGAGTGCTGCTAATATTCCAGCTGCCCAAAACACTTCGCCGCATAAAGCGGGTAAAAATAATAGTCCTCCCATTCTCGAACCGAATAAATCTTGAAGGGGATCCAACATTGTTATGTATCCCTGTTTTCTCATGGGATTGGCGAAAAACACACCGCCGAAAACCAAACTCAATGCGTATCCGAAAGGTGCCTGACACCATATCAAACCGGATGTGTAAATTATTTCCGCTGTTCCGTTTATATAACCTCCACCGACCCAAGTTGCTGCAAAACAAAAAAATTATTATTATTATTATTATTATCACGTAAAATTGCTATTTTATTATTATTATTATCACATCGCATCCTATTACCCGTCATCGTGAATATTCCGACAAAGAGTCCGATATTCCTTCCGGCGAGCATGACTTCCTCTTCCGAATCATTTCCGCTTTCTTTTTTAGCACCTGCCCATATTCCGACGGCTAATATTAATACGTAAAATAATATGATTGATATGACTCCCGCTATGTTAATCATATTGATATGTATTTATTAATTAACAATAATAATAATAATAGTAATATTCACTCTTATTAATGATATGTATCTTTTAATATTATCAGACTTATTAACTGATATGTTATTTATTAATAATAATATTAATTAATTCTCGAATCTACTTTTTTTCCATTTCCATTTATATATATATGTATATATATATAAATATATAATTTTTTTTTCCTTTTCAATAAATAACAATTAATAAATAATAGGTAACATTAATTAATTAATAAATTTTCTTATTACATTTAGCACATTCATTCAAGTGTGTCGTCGTTGTTATCGTTTCCTTTTTTTAAATTTTATATTATTTTTCGCGCCTTTTTTTGTTTTAAATTCATAAAATTTTATATATATGTATTTCCGGTTTAACAGCAGTCGCCCCAGCGTAACGATGTCTTCTGAGACGGACTGTTCCTTGTTTTAAATCCTAATCCGCACATGTGAATTGTTTAAATTCATTCAATTAATTTTTTTTTTTTCTTTCTCCTTATTTATTTATTTAATTATTAAAAATAATTATTTATTTTTGTCATATTGGCATCATTGAAAACACGGCTTGTTTTTATGTGATCCTGAAAAATGGAAAAAAAAAAAAAAAACAATCGTAATATTATAAAATTCGTTAGTGACACGTAACAGTCCTACGGTTAAAAACCGGAAATGAAAATATTATTATTTGTTTTTATTATCATTATCATTATCATTATTTTTTAAATTTAACCTTTGACATGAAAATTAAAAAATTTCTTTTCATTTTTCGTCGGTTAAAATTAAATTGAATCAAATAAAAAAATTAAAAAAAAAAAAAAAAAAAAACGGACGTTAAATTAAATTTTTTTTTTGTTTTTTTTTTTGTTTTTTTTTTTAATTTAAGTTGGTAATATTGACTTTTAAACTAATTTTATTACGGGGTCGAAGTAATTAAATATTAATCAATTTTTTTTTTTTTTTTTTGTTTTCATTCGAATAACAACAGAACAGAAAAAACAGCAAAAAAAAAACAAAAAGGGGGGGGCGGGAAATTGTGGAAAATCACGTGACTTTTCCCCGTAAGGTAAAATCAATTTCGATATATATATATATATATATACATAAATAAATATTTCATTCGGGTTGAATAAATTCGTTACGAATGAGGAAATAATAATAATATTTTTCTAACCTTTTACCTTTAACGGTTTTACCCTTCAATCCTCATTTTTTTTTTAAAATTAATTTCACCCCTCCTCTTCCCTTCCCTCCCACCGCCTCCGCCGCACCCCAGCCTTATTCTTTATCCCGAAAAAAAAAAAATTTTTTTTTTTTGAATAAAAATATTATTATCGATTCCCGAAATGTTATGTGTGTGTACGTAAATGAATCAGGGGGGGAGAGGGAGGGGCAAAACCGGAACCGGAAAATAAACGAATTTAAAAAAAAATTCGATTTCGGTTTTTTTCATAGATTGAATTATAAATGGGAAAATTTTTTTTCATTTTCCCGTCGGAAAATCTGTTTATCCTACGACAAAAAGAGGAAATATACAATTTATGCGTGGAAGTAGTAACGGAAAACAAAATAAATAAATTATTGCGTGACATTGACATTAAATAATAATACACGATCGCAACTTTTTCCTTTTTTTCTTTCACGTATCCATTCCGAAAAGATAATTTTTTTTTTTTTTTTTTTTAAATTTAAATACTCGAAACGTACGATTTATCGATTTGTTCGATTAATTAATCATCGATTATCGATTTCGTTCGAGAATTTTTCATTTTATTTTTTCCCCCAAAACTTTTGTCAAAAATTGATTTTTTTACGCGGTTAACGTGCCTTAAATTACCCATCAATTCAACAAATTTTTTACTTTTTGTGCGTACGTGTGTGTGTGTGTGCGTGTGAGTGCGTGCGACCGAAAGTGCGTGTATTAAGCTTATCCAACAATTAAATGAATGAATAATTTACAAAATGAGAGAGAGAGAGAGAAGATTCTTTCGTGTGCCATTTTAACTAAACTAAGTGCAAAGATGAAGAATGAACGAATTTAATTTAAATAATAATAATAATAAAAATAATAAATAATGATAATGATGATGTTTGTGATGATGACGATTCGACGACTACGATAGTGATGATAATGATAATGATGATGATGATGATGATGATGATGACGTAAAACAAACAAATAAAAATAAATTTAAAAAAAAAAACAAAAAAAAAAAAAACATTTTAACTCGTTTTTTTTTTTTTTTTTAATTGACGGATACCTTTTTCTAATGCCACGACGCCGTTGAAAATCATCCAAAAAAAAAAAAAAAAATTATTTTTTTATTTATTTAAAAAATTTAAATTCACACGTTGTTTTGAATAATTACGAGTAATTTTTTTCAAATATACATTTTAAAAAAAAAAATTATTTAATTATTTTTTATTATTTATAATAATAATAATAATAATAAAAAATAAAAAAATGAAAATAAATAAAAAAAGAAAACCCCGTTTCGAACAAATTTGATTTCGTATTTAGAATTTATTTGTGAATTTTCCCAGTTTTCCAGGACTACTTTAAAAAAAAAATTTTTTATTGATTTTTTTTCTCTCCGCTAAAGAGAAAAATCAACGGCGGCGCTCTCTAAAAACCGTGACGTCAGATTCAGATATGAAACGTAAATCGGTCGCGAGACCCTATACGAATACAACGGAATGGATATGTCTTTTTAAATTGCGATCGCGTGGGAGAGAAAGAGTAGGGATGATTATTCAACGTACGGGGATGACATTTAATAAAGAGTGAGAAAAGTTCAAAATTTCTCCTTTGATGACCTTTTAAGAAATTTTAAATCCCTTTAAAGTTGCTCTCGTTTAACGTGAGCTTTCCCTTCCCTACGATATCATTTAATAATATTATTTAAATAACTACCAAGGTCTTATTAATAAATACCTGTATAAAATTTCGATGTGTTGACCAGCGCAATGAGCAATCCTCCCTTTGAAACTTTAAAATTTCCTTTCCTTGTCCTCTCAATTTCTCTTCCTTTCATTTCCTCTGCCTCCTACACATTTATGATTTTTCATAAGTTTAACAACAACAACAACAACAACTTTAATATCGACTTTTTTTACGATTTGTATACTCATAGTTTTATTGGCTTAACTATTCCAAGTCTAAAATTAAATTAAACTTAAATTAATTTAATAATAATAATAATAATAATAATAATCGAGAAAAAAAAATTGTGATTTAAAATATTTATTTACATTTTTTACTTATTTACACCAGACGAAATAATTGTACATATGTATATATTTTAGAATAAATATTTTTGATATATATATGTTAATTTCAATTGAAAATTTTTTCAGTTTTTTTTTTTTTTTTTATACGGGTTTCCTTTTTCGGTTCACTATTAATATTTCTAATGCTTTTAAAAATGCTCTGTAATCGACTTCGTCTCTTCTTCCCTTGTAATAACTGAAAGCTTTTGCGAGAGAATCAACCTCGGGTGTTGATAATAAATAAAGCATCTTACGAATTGATAAAACGCTTATAAGTTGAGTTTTCGTGATGGTTCCAAATTTTTGCTTGTCGTAATCCTAAAACGAAAAAAAAAAATTCCTTATTCAATGACTTTATCATTATTATTTTTAAAAAAAGGAGTTTGAAAAAAAAAAAATAAAAAAAGGAAAAGCTCACGGAAAAGAGCTCTTCGAGATTTCTATCTCCGACCGATGCGAGTTTTTCAAGAGCAACAGCAACTTTATGCCTTTCTTCAAAATTTAAGAAACTCCTAGGATTTGCTTCGCTTGGATAATGTGGAATTGGAATTATTAAAGGAGCTCTTTCCAATTCGGCTTGTGTAAATGCTTCGTCTATGGTTCTTACAAATGTAACATAATCGACGAAACCAGATCTCATGGGAGCTGCAAATCTGTTTTAAACAAACAAATATTACAATTACTTCGTTCGAAATCCATGTAACGTTGACATCATGACGTCATCATCACGCATATGATGAGTTATTTACGTGTTAGTAATCGTTTCCAGTTCCGTTGGCGTCAGGACAAAACCAGCAGTAGACAAACCGCGTATAAAATTTTCTTTCGATATAAATTTTTCATTGCACAAATCATATTCTTTCAAAAATGGATAAACGTCTAATCTTTCTCTCACGAGTTTTGCTTTTATTTTTCCAAGTACCATAACAATATCTCTTTCGCATATTGATACATCTTCTTTAACTTCTCCCTTATTGACTTTTACTAATTTTTTAACGTAATCGTTGTACTAAAGTAAAAATAATAATGTAAAAGTTATCCTTCAAGTCAAACGTAAAGAAAATTCAATTTACAAATGGCTCACATCCATCCATCAATTTCAAAAAAAAATTGAAAAAAAAAAAAAAAAAAAAAAAACTTACGAGAGGCTCTTCAATCATCGCGGATTCAACTTCCGACAAAAACCGGAAATAGTTAAAACCGTTTTCATCATTATATCTACATTCTAAAGACGTCATTTCTTCTTCGGCTAACAATATGTTATTCGACGAAAGAACTTGTCTGTATTGCGTACGTGTAACGTATCCTGTATTGAGCCTGAAAATTCAGGTAAAAATTTTGAGGTGATGACCACCCATAAAATTGTTTATTTTTCCAATTTTGATTTGATTACAACGTTACTTACTTATCATACATTCTAAATTCGGTTTTTAAATTTAATCGTCTTCTAGCAGCTCTGTTTCTTATTTTTTCAAGAGTTTCTTCGCAAAGATCTCGAAATTTAGAATCGACATTAATCCATTCTTCCTGTCCTCGTTGTCTTAATTCTTTAACGTCATACGGAAATGGTTCAACTATCAATTCGGGCCATTTTTCCAATTCTTTTGTCGTGAACACTGAAAATGATGATGATGATGATTATTTTAATAAACCGATAATATAAAAAATAGTAATTAAAAAGTTGAAACAAAACCTTGATCTACGTCATCGGCAAAAGTTCTCCAGCAAACTCTATCGCTATCGTTTGGATCTCTGTAACAGACAATTATTTGCCAAACTTCAAAATCGGAAAGGTACAAATGAGGGGTCGACAATAAATTAATTCCTCTTTGAAATTGATTAATGGTCACTTTTCCACTGTTCAATTGATCAAAACACTAATGAAAAAAATTAAATAAAATTTTTCAATTAAATGAAATTAACAGATTGTAAACGTTTGATTGTCTCACCTGAAAAATAAATTATAACAACCTGAAAAAAATCGGTCGTTCGTAGTCTGTTAACAAAAACGTGTCTTTGTATTCTTTTCATAACCGTTATTAAATCGTCCGGAGGTGGAGGTTTGTCCATGACCGGATGAAAATTCTTTTGCGCACCAAATATTTCTTTATTTGATTTGACGTTTATTTCCGGACGGGGTAATTTTGGTAATTCGGCATTTATTAATCTTCCAGGGAACTGTTGAAGGAGATCCTACAAAAATATTGTTTTTTATCATCTCTTATCTCGGTGGTAATCATTAAATTACAAATATAAATTCTTATTATCCCCCCTTACTCCTCCCATATCGGTGAATCCAAATTTTTCCCAATATCGCGTGATTTCATTTAATTTTGCAAGAAATGCATTGTAACTTAGGGTATAAGAATCTTTAACGTATTTTTTAACCAAAAGATTAAATTCATCAGCACAAAGATGAATTCCTAAAAAATAAAGAATCCTTCCAAAATGTGCAATCGTTATCGATCCGCAGCTTTTTGAAATCTAAAATTAATAAATTATCCACACGATTATATACATAAATGGAAATAATGAAATTGTAAATCGTCACGAACAGATTTATACGATTTATTTACCAATTCGTAATCTTGAAAATAAGGACGTAATATTAATTGTTTTACATTAACGAGTGATGCAATTTTCGCCATTATTATTTCAATTTTTCTCTCTTCAGCGGGCCCTAAAAAATTCTCGTGTAACGGATCTTCCCATTCTAATCCCGTTGTGAATGGTTGATTTTGTGAAAAATCAGGTACTGAAAATTATACAAAAAGAAAATATAGACTTTTCTGTTTCACATCATCGTCCCATATATATATATATATAAAAATCAATTAAATAATATGATAAAAACCGCTTTTGTGTATGACTTCACATAGTTGTGTGTAAAAAATTCGGCCATCTTGAACTCTAAAATAATCAGCCAATTCTGATATTTCTTGATCTGATAATCCTATTTGATTACGGATTTGTCTTCCCAAAACCGTTATAAATTGCCTTTCTAAAACAAACAACAACAAACAAAGGTTAATGGAAAACATAAAAATCAATATTTAAAATCAATACTTGCTAATGTAAAATGTTTTGTGCTAATGAACAAATTTTCTTATATTTCATTATGAAATAAATTTTTTGTATGATTTGTCACTTTTTATCAAGACACATAAATAAAATAATAATTTGCCACATCATTTTATTATCAAGACACACAAATAAAATCAAATTTTAAAAAAAAGTAATAAAATTTTAATTTGGCTTTTAACCAGGTGAAAAATTTCAAATCCAAAAAAAAGTTGGAAAAACTTAACTGTAAGATATTTAATTAAAAAAGAAAGAAAATATATGTATATAAATACTATTTCTCTCGCCATTTTTACAAAAAAAAGTAATTTAATTAATAATAAAAATGAATTCTCATGTTTTACTCTTTTCAATAATGGAAGCCATTAAAATTTTCAAGCGTTTCATTAATTAATACAAAAAAAAAAATTATTACGAATAAAATTATTTAAATGAAATTAATTATTATTATTATTATTACCGAATATTATTAATGTTACCGAAGAAAAAACGATGAGTTTATTCAATCATTTATAAATAAAATAAAATAAAAAATAAAACAAAGGTTTTCATTATTGTTCTAACTCGTTTAGTACCGAAAAAATTCAAAATGGCGGAGATAAAAGTAAGCGTTGGCTATAAAATGAGAGAGAGAGAGATAGATAGAGAAATATTTAATTTCATTCACAGCACAGCGTTTAATTTTTTTTTTTTTTTTTTTTCCCCCACGCAAGCAAAAGAAATATTTGATTAAATAAACAAAAAATAAAAACTCACCAGAGATTAATGAATTATTATTTGGATCCAACGGTTTGAAATAATCATAAAGATTTAATCCGGTACGAAAAATGGCAGCACGGATCTTATTACAAACTCTCCAAATGTCCGGTAATGCAACATGCTTGAAAAATTTTTTTTTTTTTTTGTTAAAATTTGTGATTATTAATTAAAAATTATTAGTTATTATTATTATTTAATCAAAAACCTATTATCGTACCTTTATCTTCATGGTGAACCTTTTAATTTAGATGAGTAAAATCAAAATTAAAATCTAACTTTAACGTATGTGTGTTTATACCTGAACTGTTTTATGTATGACTGACTATTGCATCATTATTTATTATTATTATTATTATTATTTTTGCGACAAAAATATTCGAAAGCAAATTTTTTTGCGTTCTCGAACGAAAATTCAAAAATTTTAACGGTCGAAAATTTCATTTTATTTTATTTGAAATTTAAAATTCGTTTTTTATCATTATTAAATAACGTAATTAGGTTTTTTTGTGCGCGTTTTAAACTGATAATAATAATAACTTTATTTTGATTATTGTTTGCGATTATAATAACCGTTGATATTCAAAAAAAAAAAAAAGAAAAAACTTGAGTGCGCCATTTTTATTTGTCTCCTATCTTTTTTAATGGAAGGAATAATGAATCAAATTAAAATTTCAAAAAAAATTAATGAAAAAACAATTTTATATATTTTTTAATTATTCATTACATTTAAAATAATATAAAAAATTTTAATTTCATTATTATCATCATTTTTTTTGCATTTCTAATAATAATAATAATAATAATCTAATAATTATTCTAACCGTTATATAATTTCTAACGTTTTAAATAATTTTTTTATTTTATTTTCAATCAATCAATCAAATAAATAAATTAAATTAAATTAAATTAATTGCACTCAACCCAAATAATAATAATAATAACAAAACATTTTCCACATAAATTAATAAATAATTAATTTTTATTAATTAATAAATGAATTTTATAATAATAATTGAGATCTTACGAAGCAAGGAAGGAAATGACGTAATTATAAAAATTTTCCTTTTTTATTTTATTTATTTACTCTATGAATATTAACATCATCGTCCATCATCAATTGTTGTCGTTATTAATTTTTTTTAAATAAATAAATAAATTTTCGTTGGCACGCATTAATTATTTAAAAAAAAAAAACGAACGAACGAACGATTGAATAAATAAATAAATAAATAAATAAATAAATAAATAATTAATTAATTAATTTATGTATTTTTTTTCTCTTGTCGTCGAAAATTTGAGGAAGACAAAAAAAATTTATTATTATTATTATTATTTTATTTTTTACTCATACATTATTAATAAAATTTAACAATTACGAATGATAACATAATTATATATATATATTTAATTATATATATTAAGTATTTATATAAATAATATTAATATTATTGATACATAAAAAAAAAGAAAAATCGTATCAAATAATAATAATAATAATAATAATAATATTTCGACGTGTAAAAAAAAAAAAAATTGAATGAAAATTAAATTAAAACGACTAGAATAATAAAGAACACATTATGGGCGGGGGGAGGGAGGGAGGGGGCGAGAATGGGGGGGAAGCCAAAAGGCGACAGCGTAATTAATTTAAGTTTTTTTTTTTTTTTTTTTTTTTTTCACCGGAACCCGTTTAATAAGTATTAATTATAAATATAATAATAATAATAATAATAATAAGTTAATCATTTTACTATCGGGTCAAAAGAAAATGCAATTTTTCTAGTGACACTGCAAAAAAAAAAAAAAAAAAAATCGATAAAATCTCATCGTTGTAAATGGAGCGACGAACGACGTTGTATTCTTAATAATGAAATTTTAAATTTATCGATCGAGATTCGTTAGGGGGGAAGGGGAGGGAAAGGGGAGGAGGAAATCGCAAAACCGGAAGTGAATACGATAGATCAATAAATTTTCGACGGTTTCGTTTGACGTAATAATACTGATTCGGCGAAAACGATTTATAATTTTCTTTTTTTTCCCAATTTCGCTTTGCTTTCGATATCTCGATCGTACGTACTCGCGACACAAATTAATAAAATAATAATATCGATAATAATAATAATAATAATAATGGGAGAGAAAGAGAAAGAGAGAGAGAGAGAGAGAGAAAAAAAAATTTCATTTTTAAAAATGAACGAACGAATGACTGAGATTAAAAAAAAAAATTTTTCGTGGCATTAGATTATCATTTGTCCCTCTCGCGAATAAACTTTGATTTTAATTTCGATTCGAAAATCAAACGATCGATTCGCCTTTGTTAATCGCGAGAAATGAAAAACTGTATTTTCTTTTTTTTTCGGGTTGACCTATGTTGGCGAGTAGGGGCAAAGCCTCGGCGGATTTCGAATTGTAAACGCTTAAATTTTTGCTGTCGTTCACCTTAAGTAAATCCTGACTAGATATCGTTTCATCACCATCACCATCATAGATACCTGATCGATCCTTTGAGATGACGTCATTTTTGGCAATTGTTGTATTACACGTCGTCGTGGAATCGATTAATCGAACGCTTTCCCTCGTTTCGACGTCGAATTCGTAGTCTTGAATCGATAATCTCGATTCGCTTTCGATATTTTCATCGAAATGTATTCTTCGATTTTTTTCCTTTAACGTTTTGCACACCGTCAAATCCGGATCCGACAGCGAGAAATCCGTTTCGAAATATGGATACCTCAACTGAGACGCGTTCCTGTCGGAAAACAAAGACGGAAAGTTTTCGTCCGTTGGAAATATCACGACCGTCGGCTTATGATAATTTATGTCTTCTTCTCCTTCCACGTCGTGTAATGATTTTCCACGACCGGAGTCTTTTTCGTTATTCGCGTCATAAAATATCGCATCATCTAAAACTTTTTCCGGAGTCGAATAACTTCGAAGTTTGGACGAGTCTCCGCAACTCGACATCGGCGTCATGTATAAATCCGTGCTCGATTTTTCCAATTCTTGACTTTTCGCCGACGTGTAACTATTCGTTTCGTTTTCTGTCGTCGACGTGCTGTCGTATCTATCGAAACGTAATTTCATCATTTCTTCGAATCTTTTATTGCTGTTGAAATCTTCGTAAGCCGTCGACAAATCTTTGGTTATTTTAAGCGTTCGTCTGAGCATTCTGGGAGATCTTTGCACGTTGATATGTGATGTTTGATGAACGTTCCGCTCTGGTGAACATATTCCGTAATTTAAAAAATTCGATTCTCCCGACGAACTTTTCCTGCTGTCGTCGATGGATTGTATCGTTTTCAAATGAGCAAAACCCCGATTTAAAGGCGGCGAATCCAAATAAGAATCGCTGCTGTCGGAATTTTCAAAATTTTTACATTTCGTTCCGAGTGGATTTCTAAGTGTTCTCTCTTGACTTTCGCAAACGTTTCGCATAAATCCGTTCGCATATTTTTTTTTATGACTCAATGACGACGAATGAATCCATCTATCTTTTTGTAAACTATTGACACGTTCGTGATGTATAATGACGCTGCTCGCTCTCGAACTTATGCTCGATACTTCGGAAAGACTTTCCGGAGTCGCGAGCGGAGCCAAACCGAACCAATCGTCGTGTAAAAGATCGACTTTTCCGTATTCGATTTCGTTTCGACATTTTCCGAGTCTATCGAAATTTTGATCGTCTAGCATGGATTGATATTCCCACGGTATTATGATTTTCGCGGACGGATAATTAACGTCTGTTTTCATATCTTTTAATAATATTCTACTATCGTTTTTCAATATCGAATTCGTTGTTATCGTGTTGTTTGTCGTGTTGTTCGACGAACTCTGACTGCAAAAACTCTGCAACGATATTTTACAATTCGATTTATCGTTCGGCGATATCAAACTCGTAAAACTCGTTTCCAATTGTATTCTGTGGGCCGGAGTCGTCGTTTTCGGCGAGTGACAGGGAAACGTTGACAAAAGACGACAACTTTCCGAATCTATTTGATATTGATATTCGGGTTCTATTGCGTTATTTGTAAAACCACCCGCGGACGTTCTTTGAGGTTTTCTCGGTCCGACCGTTGTTATCACCTGTAATAATAAAAATTTTCATTACGGTAAATTGAGCAATGGGGGAAGAAAGGAAGGGAGGGAGGGAGGAAAAGCTGTGAAACATTTTCCAAGGCACAATACTACAATAACGTAAAACAGCCAATTTACAAGCTTTTGTGATAAAAAAAAATCTTTAATGCAAATAAATAAATCTACATACAAAAAAAAAATCATTAACATATCATCATGCAAATAATAATAATAATAATTAACGTGGCACTTTTATTTATTTATTTATTTATTTTTTACGTGGTTGTAGTTTATTTTAAGTGGCGGTGCTGTTGTTAATACGAAAATAATTTTAATAATAATTAATTAAAGGTAATTAATTTTATTACTTTATCATTTCGGTTATATTATTTTAACAACAATAATTTATTACGTGTGAGAAAGAGAGAGAGCGAAAGAGAGAGAGAGAAGAGGAAAAAAAAAAAAAAAAGAAAGACCTGCCTTTTTTTTTTTTCTGAAATTGAATTTACAATTCGATATCTGTCGTGGTGGAGTCCTTTTGGGTCACACACGAATAAGACAGAGTACATTTCAAAGATAGACCTCTGGAAAAAATTTTAAAAATGGTCAAAAAGACAAAAAAAGGCCATCATCAATTTTTTTTTCTATTCCGAACCAGTTTTTTTTTCTTTCTGGAAATAAATTTACCTTTTATCATCAATTCCGACATTATTATTACCACCATTATTATTATTCCTAATTGGTGCACTAACATTTTTTTCTTCTCTTTCTTTTTCAATAAATATTTCATTTAAACGTTCTTTACTTTCTTCGTTGTCATCATCATCACCACCACCACCACCACCACCATCATCATCATTACCAACGTTCTCTTCGTTATTATTATGGCGAACATCATCATCATCATCATCCCTAATACCATCGACTAATGCATCCAATTCTTTGAAATTATATCTCACCATAATATTTGACGTTTGGCTAGAGGTCAATCCATTTTTCGACGACGGTTTGACGACGACGAGTTTCGTCGTCAACTCGTCGTTGAAAAATAATTTTTCGTATTCGATAACGTATTCGGGTATCTTGACGTTTCCACACGGTGGTCTTGTCGGGTTGACGGGTACCGCGACACCCATTTGCTTGTTATGATCCGTAGATCTTTCGTTATAGTATTCGACAACCTAATTATTGAAAAAAGAAGCAAACAAACGGGATTCAAGACAGTTTTATGCGTCGGGTTTTTTAAGGTTTTGTAAGGGTTAAAGGTCACAAATCTTATTCCACGATTATTACTATATTATATCGTAACATTACGTCACCTATTCGATCATTATAAAACCACTTCACTTCACTCCTCTACTAATCTACTAATTTTTTTTTTTTTTTTTTTTTTACTACTACTCACATATGTGCTAACGCTATTTTTTAACACAACAAGCTAATTTTTTTATTAATGAACTACTACTAAGCTTTTTTTCATTTTATTTTTTAATGACGTCATATTTTCTACCTTAACAGAAAAAAAAAATCCTATTGAAACGGTTACTAAAGTTGTTGTTGTTGTTTTTTTTAAAAAATAAAATAAAACCGACAAAAACCATAAAAAAAATAAATTTCATTCAACGTACAGTGGCAGCAGCAACAGCAGCAGCAAACTCCCACGCGCTTTCCTCCCCCCACCTCTCCCTTTCCCCCCCCAGTCATTAATTAACCTCTTTTATATAAATTAATTAAATTCACGTCGAGTTTTTTCCCTTTTCACTTTATTTTATTTTATTTTAATAAAGTTATTCAATTAAATTATTTAAAAAAAAAAAAAAAGTCTTTTGGTAAAAAACTTTATTTTTTTAAAAAACTACAGAGAAAATTTTCCATAGCGTCTTCTGCTGTTATAAAATATATATAAAATAAACATTTGTTTAAAAACCTCAAAGCAAACTTACTACGTAGACTCTTTTAAAAATTCTTCATTTAAAGTTTTACCAAATAAATAAATATTTATATTAATAATAATAATATTAATAATAATAATAATAATATCTTTCGTTTGCCGTTTAATTTACGGGGGTTTCAAGAAAATTAATAAATAGTCACGTGACTGACGTGTAAATCCACAAACATGTAAATATATGTGAAGTTTAAGAAAATCCATGATATTATTTTACCTTATTATTATTATTATTATTATTATTATTATTATTCGTCGGTTTTGTGAGCGTAAAAAGGGTGGAGGGAGGGGGGGTTAATTAAAAATTCGCGTCTGCTTTTTCCTTTTTAACGTCTTTTTTTTTTTTGTTTTAATTAATAAATTTTTCCGTTTTCAAACAACAACTTCAGTATCCGATTTCAATCGAAAAAAAAAACAAAAAATAAAATATTAATAATAATAAAAAGCTCAACTAAGCCCATCAAAAACATGCAAAAACGACTGAAAATGAAATGTGAGAGAGAGAGAGAGAGAGAAAAGCTAACTAATTGTACTACGATTCCTTTTCTTTCTTTTTCCTCTTTGTAATTATTTAATTTTTTTTTTTGTTGTTTTCATCCAGAATTTTATTATTTGAAATTATTATTAGCAAGAGAAATTAGGAGGAGACATTTTTTTTTTTTTTGTAATTTACCTTATTAAGAGCGTCCAAAACGTTTTCAGGCATGTGATCTTGTATCATGACGGGTGATATTAGAACCTCATCGAAATCTGTGTTGTTGGCCCAGAGTGCCTGATAAACAGGTTTTCGCTTACGAATAACTTGCCTAAAATATATATAAAAATAAATTTAATGAGACAATAAGTGGTCGTAAAAGCGCACAATAAAATCTCGATCCGAGTTCGTCAACGTACCGCCATTTTGTTTCGTATCTTTGCCTGGGAAAAGAATAAAAAAAAAAAAAAAACAACAAAAAATCACCAACTTTTCTTCTTTTTTACTTTTTTATTTTCAGATTTTTAAAAAATTCGTGACACACTTACTCTTGTCTCGTCGTGTGATGTCGAACGACGTGGATAATTCTACCGGGAGGATATAAAGGTTGATGACTTGTTAATGCCACGTTGCTCGTTTGTGAATGGTACACAAATTCCCGCGCTTTATTTTTTTCTTTCTTGTATTCCAATTGCATGGAATCATCGGCTTTGAGTTCTTGCGCGGACGTTGGTAATCCGGCACAACCGCAGCAAATGAAAGAACAAGAAATCGTTTTCCACTAAAAACAAAATAAAATTTAATTAATGGGGGGGGGTGGGGGGGGAAAAAAGAAAAAACCTACGGGGAATCCCCGTTCACTCACCTTGGGATCTTTGCTTCTTTTTATCGCGTGCATCAAATCGGCTCGGAGTGATTCCATTTGATGAAGACCTATTCTAGGCACGACATCTTTTCCAACCACGACGGAAGTTATGAATGATTTCGTATACTCGGCAGCTGGCATGCTGTGGAGACAATTAACACGTTCGTTTCAATCATCATTACAACCCCCTTATTTTCAAGCTAAAAAATTAATTTAAAAAAAAAAAAACCTTAAAGTGCCGCCGGGCGGTGAGTAACTAAAACAAATAACGTCGGGATAATGCTGACGAAGTAATATTGATAATATGGCGGCGGATCCGGCTCCTAAACTGTGTCCGACAATTACCAACTTAAAATCTTGTGTACCTCGTTGTATGTTGAAATTAAATGCTTGACTAAGAATAGATTCTTCAATAAGTTTTTTTTGAATATGTACAGCAACTTGAATCATACCCTAAAAATTATTATTATTATTAATAAATAAACTATTTTTTTTTTTTTTTAATAACAAAAAAAAAAAAAAAATCTACCTTATGTGCCAGCCAGTCTTCTTTGGGCGGATTGATTGGAATGGGCTCACCTTCTGCATTTAAATCCGTTATTACATCCTATCAATGAATAATTTTTTTTTTCGAAATTAAAAACGAACCTTTTATTTGAAAAAATAATAATGATAAATGTACGGTACCTGCAAACTGAGCGTTCCTCGAATGCTAACAATAATTTTTTTCCTAGAATAATCTACGGCTACGAAAAAAGGCGTTATGCCAACATCGACGTGAAACGTCGCATACACTATTTCCACGTCGTTTTTTTCAATCTGTTGTTTGAGTGCAACGTAATTACACTGACAACAATTATCTTTTATTATCGTGGCGGAATTATCATCGGAAGGCCGACGACAGCAGGGAAAACAAGAACACCTGAGGAATGAACGGAGAAAAAAAAACCATTCGGAAACGTTTATATGGCAACCTTCACGTTGGAAAGTTTAAAAAAAAAAAAAAAAAAATAATAATAATAATAATGATGAATGGAAGAAAAATACCTTAAACTAGTACAAAGTCGGCAAACTGTCGCCGATGGATTATTCATTACGTACATGGGCCAACCGTAGGCGCCCAATGCAAATGTCATATAGTGTATAACATCTTGAAAAAATCCGTAGTACACGGGATCGTTTAAGGGCAAAAATTGAGTACCCGATGTAACGGCCACTCCCGATAGATATTCGTAAGTATTGTTTAAGCGCTGTTAATATAAAAATTAGTGTAGCGTTCCAGAAAAAGGGAGAGAGAGAGAGAGAGAGAGAGAGAGGGGGGGGAGGAAAAAAAGGTGAATCGCAAGTTATAAAGCATTGATATTACTTAAAATAACGACAAGCGCCATGTTTAAGCGTACCTGTTTAACAATGGACTCCCTTTCGATTTTCTGATATTTTCTTAAAAGTATTAAACCCGCGACTACGTCCGAAGGCACTACGTCGATGTCTCTAAAAAAATCCGATAAAAGTCTTGCTATATCTCCAAATGAATTTTGACTCCTGTCTGAATGGCGCATGCAACAAAATAAAAGGCGGCATCTTTGGTCCCAGCTGTTTTGATAAGCTCGCAAAACTTTCCTGCGTGCGGAGAAAAACAAACAAGAAAACAAACAAAAAATTATTATTATTATTATTATTAATTAATAAACTGATTAAGTTAATACTTATTAAGTTTCGACAAAAAAAAACAAATTTTTCCCCCGTTTGAAATTTAATTTAAATTTACAAAACTAAAACTTTAACTTTATTTTAACCGTTAAAAGTTTTGATTGATTAGTCGTTGTTCTCAAATTCAAAATCCCAATAATAATAATAATAATAATAATAATATTTTCTCACGTCGAAAAAGGACATACCTTTGCCTCCACGTTCTCGTGCAACTTCCGCTTCTCCTGTATTGAAATCTCGATTCGGATGCTTTCATGCTTCGCTGGTAATTCATCATTTTTACCCAAGAACGACCGGCAGGATCGAAAGTACACCATAGTGTGATGAAAAAGCAAAGTATTACGAATACGCTACAAGTCACCAAACCTAATAATAATAATAATAATAATAATAATAAATCTTTCTCTCTACCTCTTTCATGAAAAAAGAACATTTGATAAGATAAAATGTCGGAATCAATGATGATAAGAATTGAAAATAAAAGGAAAATTAATAAATCAATCGTACCTAAAAGGGCGTCTTTGGCAATTAGTAAAGTACACTGGGTGAAATATTGAGCTATCCACGTTCCGCAAAAGATGAGCCATAGAATTTCCGTAAATAAAATAACTGAAAGAAAAAAAAGGAAAAGTTTTCCGGGTGGTAAGTAAGTAAGATGGAGGGGACATTTTTTTTTTTTAATTCGTCTCAATCTATACCTTTTAAACCTGAAATGTTTTTTGTCTTTCTCCCCACACGCACGCACACACACACACACACACACACGGAGACAAACAAAGGACTTACATAAACGAACGTAAAGAAGATTCGGAATTGCTTTCCTTTGTTCCGTGTCCAAAATGCTTCCACGCAATGCCGTGAGGGATATCAATAATTCTAAAAGGAGAGATGCTGTTATGATAACGAGATATCCGACCATGTTTTGCCACAAAATTGATACATAATCGATTTTTATGTCGAAATCAACAAGGATTAAAATGGCCGACAGTATGACGAACCTAAAATGAAAAATACATAAATAATAAAATAATTTTAAAAGGAAATTTTTTTCTTTCTGTTTTCCGCCATTTTGTTTTTGTACGAACTTTCCTTCCTTCTGAAATAATAATAATAATAATAATAATAATAATAATAATAATAATAATAATAATAATCGAAATTCCTTTTCGTAACAACAACCGAACAGGACATCAAATCGAACGTTCGCACATTTTTTCGACGAATTCCACACATTTTTAAAAAAACGCCATTAAAGAAAAAACAAATAAATAAATAAATAAAAGGGAGCATTTAATAAATAAATAAATAAATAAAAAGGAGCATTAATTAATAAATAAATAACTAAATAAATTAAGCGAAAAGGTTAAAAGGTCATTCATTAATAACCCAAGTTTACAATTTTATTTTTTTTTGGGTGGTTTTGCGTTTTTTTTTTTTTCCTCCGAAATTCCACCAAGTGTTTTTCAATTGAATTAAATAATAATGATGATAATGATAATAATAATAATAATAATGATAATAACGGAAACGAAACGATGTGGAACTCGTTAAAATTAAACGAAACTCCTTTTAAGGAGGCGGGGAGAGGAATAGGGGGGCGGTGGTCGAGAGAAAACAAATCCTATTTCTCTCTCTCTCTCTCTCTCTCTCTTTCTATCCCCTCCCCATCCCTCCCCCTTTGTGACTTTCTACGAAAAAAAAAAAGCAATAAATTTTAATTCGAGAGTCAAACACGGCGGCTGACATTTTGATTTACTAATTCGTCGTTCTATCGATCCCAAAAGTTTGTTTTTTTTTCTCTCTCTCTCTCTCTCTCTTTACATTTTGCAATAGGTGACAAAGACAAAAAAAGAAAACCTCACACATTTTACTTTAAATTTTCCCCATTTTTTTGGCGTTCTGTAAAAAAAATTTCCCTTTTTCGTTATTCATAAGAAAAAGGTTAACAATTTTCTTTCCGCAAGTGAGCATTAATTATTAGAGCGTGAAATATCCATCCTCACGTTCTTTTAAATATGAAATATCGGTGTCTCCCCACTTTATTATAAATGTTTTCCTTTTTTCTTTTTACAAATTAAAAAAAATTTACACATTATTTAACTTTTCCAAGTGTTTGTTTTTTTTTTTTTTTTTAAACACACTACAACAACAACAAACAACAACGACAAACGAAAATTTTCACATCTTTAACCTCATTAACAAAAAAAAAAATTTGACGTCACAAAACAATTAACCGTTTTACATACGCTCCGTTCGCTTTCACAAAAACGTTTCCAATAAGAAAAAAAAAAAAAAAAAAAAAACAAATCAATTGTTTAAACAATTTAAAACAATTATAAACAACCAATTTAAAAAAAAAAAAAAAAAAATTTTAATTTATTATTATTAATTTTTTTTCCGTTCGATTTATTTCGTTTTACGTCGTAAATCATCATGCGATTAACAAACAACGATTTAAAAAAAAAACGTGGCGTTAGAAAAACAACAAATATCCTTTTTGCAGAAGAGTAAAAAACGAAAGAAAAGAAAAATAAATTCGAATTCGAAATTGCCAGATTTAAGTTTTTTTTATAGAAATCGTAAACGGTTTGCATTCATAATCAATCAATCAATCATTCAACGAGCATTTAATGGAAAAAAAAATGGAGACTCTCGTACGTAATAAACTTAATAAAAAAACAAACACCAGATCCCCCACCACCACCACCTCCCCTATCTCATCCACAAAATATTATACTTTAATTAATGCATTTGTTTTCTTTTCTTTTCATCCAATTTTTTTTTCATAAATCCATCTTTTTTCTACAATTTCCAAGGGTTCATCGGAATGAATTCGACGACACGAAAATTCATTTTGAATAAAAAAAAAAGGGGGGGATGCAGGGAAAGAAAACCTTTTCCCCCATTTTAAAACTTCATAAACCATTTTTTCTCTCTCTCTCTCTCTCTCCTCTTCCTCCATTAAAAAAATTTAAAGATACAAAACGTTTCGCTCTATCGTCTGCTTCGTATTAATTGGGTCATCATCAATCGATGAATCGATTTTAAATCGATTGATAAATGAAAAAAAAATTTTCTTTTTTTTGTTTTAGAAATTCGCTAAAATGTTACTCGTTGTTTCGAAACTTTTTTTTTGTCTTCTCATTCATTCATTGAACGAGAAGAAAACCATCAACAAACGCGTTAAGGGGGAGGGAGAAAAGGTTTTAACCAACCCTTCGATACGCAATCCATAAAAAACATTTTCACCGTCTCTCTCTCTCTCTCTCTCTCTCTCTCTCTCTCTCTCTTTTAAAAGAAAAGGAAAGAAAATAGGGTAGGCAGGTTAAATTATTAAAGAGCGTCGTTTGGGGTGTTCGAAAATGATAATAATAATAATAACACGAGACTTGCTTACGTAAAAAATAAAAAAAAAAACAATACGTACGTGCTCGCACATATCATCTCGTTAGTTTTTGTTTAAAATGGTAATAATAATAATAATAATAATAATAATAATTGTTTTTTTTCGTTATTCAAACTGATGATTAAGCATACATGCAAAATAAAAATAAAAATAATAATAATAATACAACTTATTGGAAAAATCGTTAAATTTACCGTTAAACAAAACAAATCGTTTAATTAAAAATTTATCACGGACACGTTGTGGGAAATCAATTTTGCCAAAAAAAATTTTTTTTTTTTTTTTTTTCGGTCGCCACCACGAAAACCACGTTCGCGAACGCAAATCGAAATTAAAAAAAAAAAAAATAAATAACGATTTAATTACCGTAACGAATTTATTATGGCTAAGATCGACGCGTAATAATAATAATAATAAAAAAATGCTGTCGTCCTGTGGTCGAAACCGCCATTTTTGAAACGACTTCACGAACTAAACGACAGCAAAACAGACTAAAAAAAAAAAAAAAATGGAAAAAGGAAAATTTGCTACGAATCGTCACAATTACGAAACCTGCTCTTTTGCATTCGTCACGAACGGAAAATGATGAAATTTTTCCAACCTTTTCCAACAGATAAGGAAAGGAGAGGGAAAGGGGGGGGTGAAATAAAAGATATACAAACACATGACGTAAGTTGATACCGAAAAAAAGAATTTCTATAAAATTTTTAAGGGTAGTTTTTAAATTCACCCTTAATTCCTTTCCACTCTCTCTCGTTTTTCATTCTTCGAATGAGTCATGCATTTCAATAAATGGAAATAATAATGCATATAAGGAGCAGAAGACAAAAAATAAAAAGAGGGAAACATGGATGATGCTCTTGGTGAATCAAATAAGGCGATGACTTTTTGGACAAAAGAATAATAATAATAATAATAATAAATCCGAGGATTTTAAATGACTTATACGAAGTAAAAAAAAAAAAAAAAAAAAACGCCTTTCCAATTTTCCTTTCTATCCAGTTTTGTTTTCCCTAATATTTGGCGGGAAGAAAAAGAGGAAACGTTTGTAATTATATTTTCCCTTTAGGTCATACGCAAAAAAAAGAAAAACAAATTTTCGTAAACATTTTCAAAATTTTTCCATTTCCGTTTCCATCCGTCATCTTTTTCTCCTTTTTCAAAAACGTCAATAAGTTAAATAAAAAAACTTTTCGTTAAAATAATAATAATAATAATAATAAAAAGTTTCAGATTGACAGAAAACAAGACACGCCTGTCAAGGGTAAAGGAAAAATCTGTGAAAAGTCAAAACGCAGCTTCCGATTTTCATTTTCCATTAAAAAAAAAAAACTTTACGCGCGCGTTTTTTTTTTTTTTATATAAATAAATTACTTCGTATCGTTTTGACAATATGAACCCGTGTTAAACTTTAACCTTTAGAATTTAATAATAATAATAATAATAATAACATTTTTTTTTTTTAAAGCCAAACTCGGAAAATATTGATTAAAAAAAAAAAAGAAAAACAAAAAACAAAATGTCGTCGTTTTAACATTTTTTTTTTTTTTTTCAAAAAACAACAAATTCAAAACTCATAATTTTTTACCAAAAATAAAATAATCGTTAGGTAATTCCAAAAAACATTTTTAAGCCTTTCCAAAACCTTTTTTAAAGAACCTTCATTAAACCCTCAGCAAATAATTAATCCTTTCAACCGTTTTAACCTTTTTTATACTTTTTTTATTTTGAAATTTTCTGTTAGAATAATGTTATATCGTTTACAAATAAAAAATAAAAACAATAACAAAAAAAATTGTAATGATGATAATAATAATAATAATAATATTTCGAAATCGAAAATTTTCCCTTTTCGAAAAAAAAAAAAAAAAAATTAGCTGCGACATCAAACATGATTGCATTCACGTCTTCGGTTTTTCCCCAAACGAAATATTTTCCCTCTTTTTCTTTTTTTTTTCTCCTTCTAGCACCCCCTACAAACGTCGTTTCGTTTTTCACTCAAATTACGTAATAATTTCCAAAATAAAAAAAGGGAAAAAAAAAAAATTTTCTAAAGCCACGATTTTTTTTTTTTTTTTTTAATCCTTCCGGCAACGAGTCAATCGAAAATATTTTATTAATTTTTTTATTTTTTCGCATTACAACAACCTTCGAGGCAATAAAAGCCACGTTTAATTTTTCATCAAACATTTTTTTTTTTTTTCATCGATTCTTTTTTTCAGTGTGTGCTCATCATCATCATCATCATCCTATTTCCCTCCTCGTCCCCTCCCCCTCCCTCCCTTCTTCCCGTTTCTCTTTCTTTCTCTTGTTTCATCAAGTAGAAGCAAAAAAAAAAAAAAAAATCGTGTAAAAAAAAACCGCCAGGGAAATTATTTAAATTTTTTTCAACCCATCCTTCTCTCTCTCTCTCTCTCTCTCTCTTTTATTATGTTCATGCAAGACACAAAAACAAAAACAACAACAACAACAAAACAACAAAAAACAATAAAATCAATAATTTTTCTAATTGA